ATAATATGTATAACATGTCCATTGTGTTCTGTGGTTGACTAAATTGGCTGCTCTGTCAAAAAAAAAAGGAGATCGGGTTGATTTGGTGTGACTTATCTTAATAACCCCATGTTGGAACCTTCCAAGAAATGCATTATTACCTAAATGTTTATAAACCAAACTGCTTAATAATCTTTTCCAAAGTTTTGCCTGGTATAGATATCAAACTGACCCAAGGCCTCATTTATCTCCTTTTTTGAAGTTAGAAACAACATTTGTCCTTCTCCCCATCCTCTGAAACCATGCCACTCCTCCATAATTTTCCAAAGATCACAGAAAGAGACTTTGAGATTTTATCTGCAAGCTCCTTCAGGACTCCTGAATATAATTTGCCTGTTCCCAGAGACTTAAACTCATTTATGGTAGCCAGATGTTTTCAAGCTAGGGTTGCCACTTCATCCTTCTATCAGTTGATTTGATCTGATTTGAATGCAGTTCCCATTTGGGAAGAAGACTGAAACAAAACGTCTGTAGAGAAACTCTGCCCCTCCCTATCATTGCTGTCCTTCTCATAGCACTAGGCCTTCCCCTTCCTTTTTCTTCCATTCATTCCACGTTGCCTGTGTTTATTCAGCCCCCAGAGCGTGCCTGCTGCTTAGCTTTTGGAATTGTTCCCATTTCTCTCCAAAGAGGCGTGTCTAGGGAGGTAAACAAAAGTCACAACGATGTGAATGAAGCCTTGTCCCTTCTTCACTCTTGTGATACATGTTAAAAAGGGCTGGGACTTTGATCACAGGCTTATGACCTCCATCTTGAATTTTTCACCCCCTCCCAGACACCCCTGTCTCCAGTTAAGCTTTTAAAATTCTCTCCTATAAAGTTTTGTTTCATTTAGCTTTTGTGTCTACTTTCTTGCACCTACCCTTAGCACCAGAACGGAGCTATTTTAAAAGCTGTAAAAAGTAGAAACACTGGAAGAGCGAGCTCACAAGTTAGCAAACAGGATTAAACAAATATTTAAATGTTGGCTTCTCACTCAAAGTAGTTTTTTCTTTCCTGCCACAAGAAAAAACTACTATCTGTCAGTAATTAATGTAATTGGTGGCACGTTTGTTTCTTTTCTTGGAAGGTGTTGAGAATTGGCTTGTAATAAGGCAATTTAGTGTAAGTGAGCGTGCCATAATTAGTTTGTCTATAATCCCAAGAAAGCTTTGCGACACCACATAAAATCAAAGGACCTCCCTATCTTCCAGGAGATGACATGCATGAATAATAAAAACATCCTGGATGCCCAGTGCAGCGTCCATGAGCATAGTTGCTGCAGGCAATAAGGCTGCACAGTGTTTAGGATTCAAAGGCAAAAGCTGCTTCATTGTGTGGTGAAGTGTGATTGTAACATCTGTCTACAACTCCTTAATCCAGCTGTGTCCTTTCCTGAGATCACACAGCAGCCCTAAATTATGTTGGCCTAAGGAGTTGCAAGTAGGCTCTATGTTTGATCCCTGCTTCAACGTTCAAAGTGTAATAGAAAGCACCGGTGTTTGTGGTACAATTTTTGCTGCTCAGTAGGGGTGCAAATGCAGGAAGTATGCAGTCCCCATTGTTTCCAGGCAGGACTGGCAAGGAAAATTTCCCTGAAACTCTGGAGTGCTGTTGCCAGTCAGTATTGACCATGCAAATTGAACCAACAATTTGACTGAGTATAAGGCAGTTTCCTATGTTCCTATAATTAGGGTTACCATATTTGGGCTGCAAAAACTCAGATGACCAGTAGATAATAGCAAAGAGACAGAGCTTCTGTATCATTTTGGTGCCATCTAAAGGTCATCTTGAATTCTGTAGCCAGATATAGTGGCTCCAATAGAAGAGAATATCGGTAGCTCAGGGTTGAACTGTGGCATCCTTGATGCTCTCTGAGCTGGGTGGTTCGCTTGCAGACGTTTCATTACCCGACTAGGTAACATCATCAGTGCGAGTGAGTGTGAGGTTTGCTGCTTGTTTATATGCCATATCATGCCCTGCCAGCTTTGGTGGGGGTATAGTTTCCTCCTTAGTGGTTCCTTGATTACTGTATTGTTTCCTGTCTCATTGTTTGTCTGGTGTTGATCCCCGCTTATCTGAATGTGGGCTGCTGGAGGGGATACATTCTAGTCTTTTTGTTTCCTTCTTAAGTTTTTTATTGTCTCTTTTGAATGGTGTGTAAATGTGGTTTATCTCTGTGTGTCTATTGATGGCTGATTTGTCTGAATACCAAGCTTCCAGGAATCCATAGCGTTTTTGGATTTGGCTTGGTCTAAGACACTGGAGAGCCAGTTGGTGTAGTGGTTAAGGGCATCAGGCTAGAAACCGGGAGACACAAAGCCAGCTGGGTGACCTTGGGCCAATCACTTTCTCTCAGCCCTAGGAAGGAGACAATGGCAAACCATTTCTAAAAAAGCTTGCCAAGAAAACTGCAGGGACTTGTCCAGGCATTCTCCAAGAATCGGACACGATTGAATGGATTTTTTTAAAAAAAAAGATGCTCAGAGTTCCCAATTGAAACTGTGGTTGATTCGGTCCATGTGTTGTGAGATTAAGGAGTTTTCATTGTGTCTTCTGACTGCTATTTGGTATTCATGGATGCACTCTGCCAGTCTTCTGCCTGTCTATCCTACATAGCGGTTGTTACATTCCTTACACTGTATGTTGTAGATGACTCCTGTTTTTTCTTTTTGGGCTACTGGCTATAGCCAGATATAGAGGTTATATAGTAATAAAGCTGAATAATCAATTCATTTCTTGGCTCTTCCTACCAACTCTACATTTCTTTTCAACATTTATCTTTGCAAACATATACTATAGGTCGAATAGGGCAATATACAGACCATATAAAGGAAGGGGGAGGCTTAATGCTTGATTGCCCATTGCTTAGTCTGACCTGTCTTCAGACAGTGAAGAAAAAGGATCATGGCACATTTTGCTAATCATCACTACTGTTATGATGCAAAAAAAACCAAAATACACCACCACCCACAGAGTTAAACAAGAAAAACCAGTAGCTCATCTGTCTATCTCAAGGGGAAATGACAAGAGTACTATATCCAAGGGAAAATGGATAGCTTTTCATGCAATTTATACAAGAAGAACTGGAATTGCAACACTCTGTTCTGTTAGACCTTTCTTGAAACATGATCCTTGACTGTTATTTTCTCATATGGCTTTTTTTCGCTGTTGAACGCACCCAAGTTTTGCATTGGTTGCAAAGAGTGCACACATACCCTGTCTTGTTTGGAGCTGTGTCCCTTTAAAACATTCAGGTAGAGTGGCAACCCTACCATTGCTGAATATTTTAAAGGCAGACAACACTAAAATTGCTTGCTTAATTAAATATGTATGCTGACTCCAGGCTTTTACATTTTAGATGGCTGGAATTTGCTTGGCAAGAGGAGTGGGAGGGAAGAGATAATGGGGTAGAGAGGTAATTCATTTTAAAAATTAATCAGTATATGGGCACAGTAGTGGTATATTCCAGAAAGGACTCCAGTTCCTGGCCTTCCAGTCTCTGAGAATTAAGGGGGGGGGGGAGCCCAGCTTGGCAACCGTTGGGAATAGGAGACTATTTATCTTTACATATCTGTTACAAAACATCTCAAACTGGTGTGGGTTGATCTTATGGGTTTCCTCAGGGAAGCAAGGGACATAGTATGGCATAAATTGTATAATTTGCCTTATTTGCTCAATGATGTCATGGTGTGCCTGACAACATTGTGGCTTGTACTGGACACCAATGATTAATTTGTGGAAGTCTGATGTATGGGATTTGCTTGCTGATTTTGTTTTATTTTGGGCCCTCAACTTTATACATCGCTGGGTTTACATACGTAGACATTGATTCATTAACTATCCCTTCTTGAAATAATTAATTACAGTGGCTGGGTTCACACAACCCGGCCAGCCACAAGCAGGCAAATCTTATTATGGCTTAGTGTGAGATGCAGACTGATTTGTTGCTGTTGTTTTTTTCCTGCTAAGAAATCAGTCCCTGTGTGTCTATCACAGAAGAGGATTCTTGGAAGAATCCTAGATCTCTTGGGCCTTCCTCATTTAATCACGACTAATATTGATATATATTAAAACTGAGCACATAGCAGCTTTCTCATGTATGATCAGAACATTGGAAATCTGGGGCATATAACCAGTGTTATCACATATACATTCTGATTCTCACTTGGTCAGTAGCACTCCTCCTGCTTGAACTTTTGCTTGTCATAGATTATGCCATTTGCTTCTGCGTACCATCAGACAGATGCTATCTCCTGAACTTGGGTTCTGAGAGTTATTCTCATTTGAGAGGCCAGTGTTGAAGAGAGGAGATAGGTTAGGTAGAACCATGCTCGGACCCCGCTAGACAGCTTGTATACATTCTCCAGTTTCTAATTTTGGAATTCTCTGGATCAGTTCACGTGCTTGTGTGATGCCTTGTTTATACCAAAGCAATCCACATGAAATTGGATCACATGGAGCTCCAGGGGCCTGACATATGGTTTGGCCCTTGCTAAGTTTGTATCTGCAGTAGAGTTGCCTGTACTTGTGCAGTAATGGCACTGCAGTGCAACAAAAAGAACCAGCAGTATATTCTCCAGAGAAAGACTCTTGCTTGATGGGCAAAATTAGCAAACAGACTATGGGATTTTCCACGAACGTTCAATTTGTATTAACTTTCTAGCTCCCTCAAGAAGGAAAATATTTATTTTACTAGTCCTCTATCTATTCTCTTACATGGCTTACATAAAGACATAGAGTAATGCTTCTGATACAAGAGGAGAAGCAGGGACTTGGTTGTTCATCTGCTCTTTAGACAAACTTTGGGTTCTTCAGTTACTCCATCCTGTTTGAACTCTTTTTATCAGACAGCATAGAAAGAAAGACAATTAATTAAATTTCTAGGCTAAGCAAGCATGCTGATGAGTCTTTGGTGCAGCAGCAAACTCTAGTCATAACCACAGTAATGCATTTTCCTTGTTCCTTCTCTCAAACAGCCCCTTGTGCGCAAGTGTAAACCTTTAAGATGTCTCTCAGCAATAGAAAGGAAGTGAACACTTCAGCCCTGAGGAAGATCGCTGCCGACATGAGTAACTTAATTGAAAGTCTGGACTCAAGGGAACTGCATTTTGAAGGGGAAGAATTGGATAGTGATGTGGTACATGATCCCAAAGCTCCTGGTGAGTCAGTGGCATAAGCGTATAAAATGCTTCTTTGAAACCTGAGTGTTCATTTTTAAAGGAAGGCTACTAGTTCTTAATGAATTAGGGGAAAGAGAAATCAAATGTGGTTGAATTAGACTGAATGGGAGCTCCAGAAGCCTTAAGTGGACCTTCAGTGCCCTCAGTGGGGTCTTCACCGCCCACCCTGCCTGATATTTCTGTTTCCTGTACTACAGCTAACCCTTCTTCTTTTACCTTCTTTAAAATTATATTTTTAATAACTCCCAAAGCTTGCTTCTATTAAAAAGGGACAGGCAATTTTTTCAGGTGATGAAGCCACCCAAGTACCCAACAGGTTACAGTAGGCCTTCTGATAACCAGAAAGGAAAAGGCTGAAAATTTGGACCCATTTTTCCCCCAAAAAATTTCAGGGATTTTTGGTGATGGGGTTAAGAAAGGAATGAGAGTGTTTCACTTCCAAAAAACTTGCAGTCCCATTCCTTCCCTTCTTTCCCCAGTTTAAATATGAAAAATGCCAAAATTCAGCCCTCTTGACATTGGGTTTCAGAGATGACATCTTGCACTGCTTTGGGAACCCAAAAGCAGCTGCATGTAGCCCACGGTCTGGGTTGTCTACTCCTTCCTTAGAAGTCTTGGAGTCTTATCAAGTCCATGAGAAGGCAAAGCACTACACTGGGTGCTAGATCCATGTTCTAGAATTTTTATTTGTTAATGTTTTAATTGTTGCTCATGTCGATTTTCAGGATTGTGTGTGTGAGAGAGAAAGAGAGGGAGAGAGAGGGGGAGGGAAGGAGAATTGTTAGCAGAAAATGGAGTGAAAATATTTTTAAATGTGGGGAGGATTCTTTTGCATAGAGAAGGATTCAGAAGTGGCCAATATGCAATCTGAACTGGTATCATCTATTCTCCTAAATCGGTGTTTGTCAGACTTAGCAACTTTAAGATGTGGGGACTTCTACTCTCAGAATTCCCCAGTCCACACATCTTAAAGTTTCCAACTTTGAAAAACACTGTCCTGAATCATTCTGCAGGAGATACAGTCATGGCACAGGGCCATAACTAGAGGCAAGAAAAACTTGGAATCTCCTAATTTGCTCTTTTATCTTGAAAGAAGTTTGCTAACAACTGCAATAAATTAGGACTACCAGATACGAACTACCCCCCCCAAAAAAAATCCACATGGCCATTAGGTGGAAGGAAAGAGATACAGAAAACCCCAACCCTTTGCCATCATCTAGTAACTATTGGGATTGTTGAGGCTTAGATTGGTAGCCCTAGGTAAATTGCATGATGATAGATAAGCATCAGCTGGTTGAGAGGAGCAAATTTTTTCATCCAGCATCTGCTTGTGTATGCATAAATATATTGTTCCCACTTCTATCTAGCTAAAGTTATCCATGTCTGAAGGCCATGTTGAAATCAATACTACAAGTTAATATGGGTATCTTAAGTCCTGTTGTTTTCAGTGGCCTGGTTCACACAGTGTGCTGTGCCATAATGTGATGTGTTTGATTTATGGCTTAGATGCACCCAATCAACTGTGTTTTATTCAACAACCCATGGCTTAATGTAATATGCAAGCCATATAGAAGTTAGCAGTAAATATCACTTTCTTAAAGCTCCCTCACTTGTAGGAATTACTGTGGGCTAAGCTTTGATAAAACTGATATTACCATTGTTCCTTGCATTTGGAAGAGACCTGTTTGGCTATGTGTAATGTGGCTAATTTTGTTCCGATGCAGCATAAAGTGTGAACCAGCCATGATTTATAAATCACAATTGATTGCGCAATGTGTGCCAACTGTATTTTATTCAACAAATTATGGCTAGGCAAACTATAAGTTGCTGTCAGATCTGAACAGGTGTGTGAGTAAATGTTTCACAGTAGAAGAACCCAGACTCAGTCCCAGTTATAGAATGAGTTAATTTAGGTTTTTATTGTGAAAACTGGCCAGAAAAATATATTACATTTTTTTTCTTTTACATTTCCTTCTAATCACCCTTTTGGCATCATGGTTCCTATCTAAAGGGGAGGTGACTAATACAAAATAATCTGGAACTTTTATTTATATGAAGGGATTTGCTAAACCCATGGAGCACTTAGCTGAAGGAATCCATGTTGTGCTTCCCTGTCTTGATCCATAATTTAACTGCCTTTGCTGTAACCTTTTGCCTACTCTGCTAAACGTGCATTTTAAAACCCATGTAAAGAACTGATATGTGGCCATCTCCTTATTTGCAGTGGGCATCCCATTCTCCACCATTTATAATACTAAAGGATTTAAAGAGCCTCACATACAGCTCTACCTAACTGGGTGTCCAATCCGAGTACGTGTTCTAGAAGTGGAACGTTTTACATCAACAAATAAGGTCAGATCTCATTTGCCACTCTAGCTCTCTCTGAAATCTCAGTCATACTTTCGTGCTTCAGGAGGCTGCGGGAGGACCAGTGGGTCAAATTTTTTTTTTTAAATGGCAGACTAAAAATATAAAAGCATAAAACATCATGTCTAACAGCCTTTTAACCTGACCCATAGAAATGACTGCACAGGAAGGCTTCCGTGTGCCCCTTTTAGAAGCTGATATACTTGATGATTTGCACTGAAATCTTCATTACTGGTTCTTAATCTTTAATCAAGAGAAATTTCCCCCAAATGTAATAGAGGGAGGGAAGAAGGAAGGAAGATGCACTCTAAACCAGCTTTATTCTAGTTTGATCTTTGTAGCTTTTCCATGCTTCAGTGAAAAGAGTTGTTCTGCATAGTTGTGATCCACAGACCGCATTTTGGGCCCCTACAGATTTTCCCCTACCCCCAGATTAAAACTGAGAAAAACCTACCCAATTTATTTAAAGCCCCTGTTGCCCATCAGAACTAAAAAGGCCAAGTATCTTGGCCCTATTTTGCTCTGGGAATCACAAAAGGGGCTCTAGAAACCAGATACAGTTCATGGATCATGTCTGTACATTCTGTGGAGTATAATTGCTTAGGAAAAGCAGGTAATTTCTCTGCAATGGATGCTTGTGAGAGGGATTTTCTGTACTGATCATAAAGCTATCTTCATGCCTCTTAATGTGAAATTAAGTGAAATTATTTCCTTCTTAACTTGCTTCTGTTTTTCCTGCGATACTGACTCAGGATAAATCCTGCTGAAATGTAATATTTATTTTAGAGCCTTGATTAACTGGCCGACAGGAAGGTCACTGATGGATTTGTTGTAGAATGCTCTAACATCAAAGCTGCTAAACAAAACAAGGAAATGGCTAAATAACCTTCTTCGAGTCTTTAATGTCTGGTTTCCTTCTTGAAGGTCCCAAGCCCACGTGTTTACACCATTGAGTTGACCCATGGGGAGTTTACATGGCAAGTGAAGAGGAAATACAAGCATTTTCAGGAGCTGCATAGAGAACTGCTTCGATACAAAGCTTTTATACGAATTCCCATCCCAACACGAAGGTGACTGCATAAAACCTTTCTAAACGGGTTTGTTTGGAGTGTGGAATGGGTGCCTTGGAAAAAGCACTCATATCTACACAACTTTCAACCAATGGTGTGCTGTGATTTGGTGAGAGCTCAGCATGTTGTGATGGCCGTGAAATTTCTCTCACCAAGAATATTGTTAAGATTAGTACCAGGTACTTAGTACTTAGTATATCTGTACCGCTATTTGTCAAGAAGTTCAAGATGATTTTTTTTCTCCTTTTTAAAAGGAAAAAGTGTTATTAAACTCTATGACGTAGGATAGGCTGAAAAATAATGAATTACGTAATGTAGGGCTACCATATCTGAGCTACAAATATCCAGATTTTTGCTGCCAATTCCAATATTGCTGCCACTAATTTTCTTCTGGATTTTTGCAGTCTAGGTATAATTGCTCTAACCTAAGGCACTTCCTGACCAAGTGAGGTTTTGAACCTCTATCTTCTCACTGAGACTGTAACCCAGATGTAGTTAGTTAGGGCCCCATGCAGTCACACAGTATGTTGGCTCAGCCCCCCTCCAGAAGTTGTACTTGTGATTGTATTAACACCATTCTGATGCCATCTCTTCTTTAACCACTATTGGCTTTCAATTACAAACAAAAGATTTTATGGCTTTGTAGATAATGTTTCAAAAGGTTGGGGGTACCCTTGCCAAAATTTCAGAAGGCAAGAATTGGCTTCCTGTAGTAAAAATAGGCAGTGGCTTAAAAGCATTTATGAACATTTGTACCAAAGCATCATGCATTATTATTATTGTTATTTCCTACCTTTTTAAATATATTTTGGTCAACTCAAGGTGGCCAAGATATCTAATGCCTCCTATTTTCCCCACAACAACAACCCTGTGAGGTGGGTTAGGCTGAGAGAGTGGGACTGGCCCAAAGTCACCCAGCTGGCTTTCATACCTAAGGTGGGACTAGAACTCATAGTCTCCTGGTTTCTAGGCCAGCACCTTAACCACACCAAACTGGCTATCATAATGGTTGCTTATTGCTAAGGATCAGTTGATCACAATGATTCTGATAAATTCTTTGGCAGCAAGTCCTGAAGAAGACTGGTCCAGGTAGTAGAGGTTCTCTTCAAAGTAGCAAAAGTGGCACATTTGTGGACAGTGCAATCACAAGAAAATTATAATCTTGCTTTTACTATCTACTCTGTGCGTGCATGCCTTTGAGTCAGTGTTGATTCCTGGTGACTGCCTGGACTGCCTGCAGCTTGCCTGGCAAGATTTCAGAAGTGGTTTGCCATTACCACCTCCTTCCCAGGGCTGAGAGAGAGGGACTGGCCCAAGGTCACCCAGCTGACTTAGTGCCTAAGGCAGGACTAGAAGTCACGGTCTCCTAGTATCTAGCCTGATGCCTTAATCACTACCCCAAACTATCTCTTTCCTTACTATCTACTAGGTGAGCTAGAAAATGACTGTTCTAAATAGGATAGTGTGAATGTTCAGTTCAGGGATTAAGTTTGGAGATGACTGAAGTGATCACATTGGGATCCAAAGAAATTATTTGATTAAAATTGTCAAACTTTATCAGAGACCTCCAGTTTGGTTTGATTCAGAGATGTTATGGTCATTCACACGTGGATTTGAATATTTAAATTGGCCTGATTCAGATATCTGAATCTTGTTGAATCAATTCCAAGTTAACTTGGTGATTCTAGGTAGGTTAACTCAGTAATCCAAATCAAGTTAAAGTTAAGACTGAACTTGAAGAATCATTTATGTAAGTGAAGTATGGTTAGGATGTATTGTAGCTCTTGCTGGACACTTTGTGATGGGTGGAAATATAAGCCTGAAGGTGCACACACAGTTAATGTACCCATGTTTGTTTTATGTTAGTCTTTCCCAGTAATTAAAAGTATATGAATCACTAGCTGCAAGTGTTTTCTTTTTAACAATAAGGATTTTTCTATTGGCAAATGCACCCTCCCTCTCTGGGACACATCCCAGTGCATGAAACAAAATCAATGTTCTATTTTTTAGACACACTGTGCAAAGACAGACCATCAAAAGGGGAGAAGCAAGACAAATGCCAAGTCTTCCACGTACCTCTGAGAACATGGTCAGAGAAGATCACCTCTCCAGTAGAAGAGTAAGATGCTTCATCTAAAAAATCAGTTTTAAGTTATTTTTCTGAAGTTAGTTTTAAACATTGGCTGCATTTGGATGATCAAATTGTGGTTTCATAAATCAGATTATGCACACGTTTCATGCATAGCATCTCATCCGTTTGTTCCCATTTCATTGCTCCCTTTGCATTTGTGAAGGACAAAGCCAGAAGATGAAACTGAATATCTCTTCTTAAAACCAAGCTGTGAACTATAGTTATGGCCTCCTAAGTGGACAATTCTAGTGCATAGGGGAGAAGTTTTGTTCTTGGGCACTCCAATAAGGGGTGCCATAGAGTTCAATCATCTGCTGTCTTATTTAACATCAGTACAAGGCCACTTGGGGCATTTATCCAGTTTGGGGTATGGTAACACCAGAATGTGCATCTTTATTCAAAACAAACAAGAGATGCAGAAGTCTTGACCTGGTGTCTGGGAACTGGAAGGGTCTGGATATTAAGAGGCTGGGACTCATCCTAACCGAGAGGGAATAGCTGTTGATTCAGAAGCTAAGTCCAAAACAGTACTAGCTTTAATTCTACATGTGATTATACTTCCCCAGAAACAAGTAGTCTGCAACTTGGTGGCCCTTCTGGACTCATTGCTTACCAGTTGCAGCTATTCCTGGGAAAGCTGGTGCTGGTGGCCCTCTTCATCCCATGTTTAGACTTTAAAGGGATTTAAAGATGGCCTTCAGGAAGGTATGGAAGAGCTGAAAGCGGGGAATTGAAGAATGAACCATTAAGGAGGACCTGTAGAAGCAATTATGCAGTCCAGAGATTGAAGGAAAATCTGAGAAAGATATGCCTTGGTTTTGTTTAGTATAAGAGAGAGAGAGAGAAAGAAACTTGAACAGGATTTCAAGATTCTATTATTCTACCTTTTTTACAATAAAGTAGCATTCTTGGAATCCCTGAATTGCCTGTCTCCTACCTTGAAGGCTTGGCAAGATGATTGTAACTGGCTCTAGTTGGGGTTGGTTTTGAAGACCATCCTGAAACTACAACTAGTCCCAAATGCAGCTATCTGCATGTTAGTGGTCTGATATTATCATATTATACCAGTAGTGTGGTATTGCTTTGGTTGTTGGGTTGTTTCCAAGCACAATCAAATTTCTTATTAAATTCTATAAAGCCTACATGGATGAGGGCTAGCTAACCCTTACGCAGGGCTGAGAATGCATGTTGAAAGTTGCCTCTCTCACCTGAGTTATGGAAAGAGGACATGCAGCAAGGAGTAGCCTCTGAAATAAGAACAGTACCGTCACTTTTGATGTTCAGGGACCATCATTTGGAGATTGAGCAGTTTGAGCAGATGTAAGTGTCTGGCATGGGCACTGGTAATAAATGGCTATTCTGTTGGATTTAGGTTGATTGCATATTTTCTATTGGCTTGTTATTCTTTGGCTAATGAGGTTGTATCTGTTGTCTTGTAAACTGCTTGGATTCAAATGCTTAAAGTGGTCTAGAACTGGTTGTCCTAAATAAATACTTAAGAAACAGCAGTGTTCCCACAACAACTTCCTGGCTTGTTACCAGGGATGTCTGAGGTGGGGGGAGTGTCAGGAACAGTCAAGATAGCAATCGGGACCCATGGGATCAAAGCCCCGCCCCTTTTTAACATGCATGCAGATCCTCTTAAAAGGAATAGAGCTTTGATCACAGGATTGCAACCACCATTTTTACTTTGTTGACCCCTGTTGTGCAAACACCCCTAATTATGATCATGTTTAGCAGAGGGAGAAATGGACCATGAGCATTATATACAGAACTCATGCAGATCCACCACACTGAAGGGTTATGTTAACATTCAAACCCAAGTCAAATCTTAAGCATGCTGCTTTTGCTCAGGATGGGAAAGAAATGACACTGACACCTCATGAAAACTAGTTGGGGTA